TTGTAGGTAGATAATCCATGTTAAATTTCCAGTCCCCATGCTGGAATAATTAAGGGCCTAGGCTCAGCCAAGGCTGGTGTTTAGCACCTGGGGTAGGTGGGGAAATGGGTGAGGTTGGCCCAGTGTACTAGAATCTGATTCCAGGAAAGCGTGGCTCAGCAAGCAAGGGAAGGATGATTATTAGTCAACAGTTTTAATTGCTCTAGTGGTTCTTCCTGCCCATCCACACTCACTGTGGGCCAGCACTTGTGTCAGATGCTGGTAACCTAAAGATCACCAGTTAGATGCAGAGCAACCCTACAAGACTTTCCCACCTCTAGCAGCATCAAGTGAGTGTTCTTTTAAATCTTAAATGTTATGCAGTGGAATAAGTATCTTTGACAAGAAGCCTTTTGGGAAAGTGCATCGGAAAATGTGTGTTGGGATTTGAGAGGGCTAAAAAATAATGTCATCTTCCTCACCCAAATTTGAAAGTAATTGAGAGAGAGATGCAGCAGGTAGGTTAATGGCAATCATAACACAGTTCGAGCTGTTTGGAGAATATGGCTTAGGTTTGAGTGATAAATGGTTTTGTTTAGGACTCTGTTTACCACAGATTGCTGATGTCTCTGAGGCAAAAGGGAAGGAAAAAATTCAATTTCCTAATGCTTACAATATTTTAATAGATTAATCTTACCCAGTCAAGAAATATGGGCTAATTGCTACCACCCCCAATCAGGCTTTGTACTCCTCAGTGGGGAAAAGTGAGTTTTGGACGGGGCAGGAGGCCATGGCTGTTACCATAGAGAAGACTGTCCTTCCACAGATAAACAAGAGGAGTGGGGAAATAAGTGTTCTTTCCTAACTTTTTCTTACCTTTTGAGCTTAATCTAAGTTTATGGTCGATTAGGGGTCTGTCTATCACCCCCTGGGGAGGAGATTAGTAACATCGGTAGCTTCCATCTTTATATGATTGCTTCAATTCTGTGCCTTTTTGGATTCTCCTAGGAATGTTGGCCAATGGTGTTAACTTGGCATATAAAAGACCCTAAAATATATATTGATCATTATATTAATTAAATTAATTCCAAGATCGTGATGTGTAAAGACAAAAATTTCATTTGACTGCTAGGCCCCTTTACATAGGTTGCTATTTTTTGTAGTTGGCTCAGGGAAGCTCAGGTCTGTTTACTGCAGTACCTTAGTGACCACAGTCCTGTAAGTGGTAGAAGGTGAAGTCTTGGCCACTGTGGACTAGTGCTATAGAAACGTTAAAAGAAAAACTTTAGACAATTTAAATTTAGCAGAGTTTATTTGAGCAAAGAATGATTCACGAATTGGGCAGCACGTAGAACCAGAACAGGTCCAGAAAACTCCATCCAGCAGCATGAGCAGCAAGATTTTATAGGCTGAACACAAGCAAAGTAGGGAAATCACCTGATTGGCTACAGCGAGGTGCCTGCCTTATTTGGGCATGGTGTAATGAGTTGGCTGCCTATGATCTGCTAAAATTCAGCTACTTGTTATAAATTAAGTTTCAGTTTCTCTATGTACTAAGTTAGGTTGCAGTTTGTTACCTAGAAACTCGAAGCAAGAGGACAGCTTCAGGCTAATAGCCTCCTGCTTATTTAACAGAAACAAGAAGACTGCTGTTCCCTGATGAGGCATGCGAAAGAAAATTTATGGATCTCTGACATCCTAGTTTTCTCATTGACTTAGCGGTTTCTTCTTGGCCTCTTCGGGGCCAATGAGACTAGGAGCATTTATGTAGGGCTGAAGGTAGCTTTTATCTGTGTTAACCCACAGATCTCAGCTGGCCAGATAGTCTCAGGATACAACACAATCTCCATCAATGCCGCGTGACTCAGACTGGTCTCCAAGACTGTACTCAGATCTCAACATCAGAATAGAAACTAAGTCTGGCCTTGCACCCCACTGCTTGAAGACCCCAGTAGCTGTTTGAGGTAGGAGATAATAGATTAAAGCTGAGAACA